ACTCTTTCCTCTTCAAATTCTTCAAGTCCTCTTCAATCACAAAACTCCAATAATGGAGGGGAAATTTTTGAAGCTCTACAAGAATTATTGTGAGAAGGGAAAATGAAATATACAAGTCCTAGAACAAGATCTCTCCACTTACTCACAAATAAATGGAACCCTCGAAAGTGTGAGAATTAGGAGATGGGTTTCATACCTTGTACTCACCAATGGGCAGTGCCATTGCAATTAGGTACATGAACAGCACAACCCTGATTTCTCCATTATCCATACATTTACACTACTCTACATCATCTATATATCCATAAACAAAATAGATTACAATCACAAATATTAATCTAGTATTTAATGTTATTAATATAGCATTTATATAAACATAAATAAATAGTTTTATCCCTTATAAGTTATCAATTATTATATTTATTAAATATAGTATATAATTAAACATAATGATAATATATTTATTAAAAAGACAAAACTTAGGTATCATTAGTATTATTCTCTGATTAAAATTAAAGTTTTACATCGATTATATATATTTATATATAATATTAATCTTATTAATATATATTTATGTATCCATTTCTAATTGGAGAATAACATTAAAAATATCTATAATAAAGTACTTAAATTTTGTTTTTATCAAAATTAACAAGTTTCACACAAATATATACAAATTCTAACTTTATTGTTATTATTGTACATACCAAAATATTATATTTTATAATTTAATAAATGTAATGCATGTTTATTAAATATATGATTTTTCATATAAATGTAGGAGTAATTGAGTAAATCACATTTTTCTCCTAAAAAAATCATATAAAAAATATTACGTTGTTCTCTGTTACAATAAAAAAAAATCACATTCAAATATGTGATATTTTATCTCTTTAAATTTTTTAATAAGTTTTTTAGTTTTTTTTAAAAAATATTATTAAAACATCACTAATACTCCTCAAAGATACAAATAGTAAATAATTCTCATCCTTGTATTAAAATATCTCATAATCACATTCAAATATGTGATATTTTATTTCTTTAAATTTTTTATTAAGTTTCTTAGTTTTTGTTAAAAAAATATTATTAAAACATCACTAATACTCCTCAAAGATACAAATAGTACATAATTCTCATCCTTGTATTAAAATATGTCATATCTTTCCTGGATGTACAAAAACTTAAGTTTGAACTCTACTATTATCATTATTATTATAATTCTTATCGATAAAAAAAATAAAAATATTATGCACTTTACTTGTATGTTTATAAGTTTAGATATATTTTTAGTTTATTTCTTTAAAATTTTAAATCAATGTTTTTAGTCCTTTTATTTTGTGATTTTCATTATGTGTTTATCAAAAGGTTAAGTAATAATTTTGGAGAATCTACAACTGTCTATGATATATTATCTAAAAATAATTATCAGGCATCAACTGTTTTTAGATTTTATTGGATGAAAATTAATATATATATATATATATATATATATATATATATATTATAAGTCATATATCTATTTTTATAAATTTAAAATATAATTTATATAATTAAATTTGATTTATAAGTCATATATCTATTTTTATAAATTTAAAATATAATTTATATATTTAAATTTGATATTTATTTATATATAATTTATTATAAATTTAATTATATATAATAAGCATTTCTATACATAATACATTATAAATATCATAAAATACTAGTTAAGAGAAAGGAAGGATAACAAAGAGTTTGATTAGTTCACAAGAAAAATTAATTAAATAAATGAAATATAAAAAAATTATTTAGATAATTTACTTAATATAACTAATAAATTATAAATTACCTTCTCTTTCTAAAATATAAGAGAAAGATTTTTTTGAATCAAATCACTTGACTTAATAATTGTAAGACTTATATAATACTTTCAACTTTAATTTGTGGTAGTATTAAAATAATGATGAGTTAGCAAAAAATTACATTATGTAAATGCAAATTAGTTTATGGATAGAATGTAACGACTCGGCTGGTCACTACACTCCCAATCACAACGCACCAGAAACACTAGACAGAATAGAACGAGTATATAAATATAGGATTTAGAATATAAATATATACAAATGTTCCAATCCGGCTAGAGTAAGTAGAAAAGCCACTCTAATCATTTTATATTTGAGTTACAATTAAGAAACTGATACATGATTCAACTTAATGATAAATAATATTTTATTATTATTATTATTAATTTTTTTTATTTTCACAATATAAAATTAAGATAGAAATACAAACTCATACATCTAGACCCTTTGTCCCAAAATTTTTGACCCTAAGATAAATATTTTATCACTCTATTTATGTGTGTTTCTGTCATCTTTTGTCAATGGTCACACCAGGTCAGAGAACTGTTCATTACTTTATCACTCTCTTTTCTACTTGCTTCCATTCTATCTTTAATTGTTTCTCTCCCAAAGTTTTCATTCTCTATTGCTTTTGGACATGAATGAGAGGTTCTATTAGAAAAATGTTGTTTCCCCAATTTGAAATAGTCAGCCTTGACAAATCAAAACCCTAAATTCATTCTATAACCATTCTCCTTCTTTTAGACATGCATGGATTTCTATTAGAAAATATTGTTTCCTCTATTCAAAGCAGTCGTTCTTATCACAACAAAATCCTAAATTAAATCGTATCTGAGCTCTCGATTTTCTTCTGTTACAAGTATATTCACATTTATTATTTGAAATTAATGATTTAGACTTGATATTAATCTTTATATCTGAAATTTTTTGAGTTATAGCATTTCACATCTTATCTCAATAATTTTTTTTTCACAATTTTGTTTTGGTAGGTTTGATTTTTGGCATGATTAGTTTAATTTGTACACTTTTTTCCAAGTTTTCCCCAAATTTTTTTTAATACATTTTCCCTCCCACCTTTTTTTGGTTGGATAATGTGAAATCCATGTCAAATCGATTCGATTCGAACCAAGTCGAGTCAAAATAAAAAATAAAAAAATAAACGCACAAACCCAAACCGATTCGGTGAAACATCATTCCCAGTTCGATTTGCCTACAAATCCGACAAACCTACATGTGTTCACCACTAATTTTTATTGATACAAAATTATTTAATAATATTTTGATTTATCATTTTATTTTAGAAAAGTTGCTTAGTGAGAATCTCGTTTTGTCTTCGTTAGTTAAATCAACGAAGGGGTATATTTTTCAACCATCAAGAGTGAGTTTGATATTTTAAAATAAAATAAATAGATGTAATTTTTTTTTCATATAAATTATTCATCAAAAATATACAAAGCCATTCCTATAATTAGTTTTTTTTTTACCTCGATTTAAGATGAAAATGAAATGAAAAAAATTAATTTTTTGTTTAATATTATAAATATATTGATATAGAAAGTACGTTCATTTTTATTAAATGTATATACTTTAATGATATTAAAATAGGACTAACTCTCTCATTAGATTCTTTTCTCCAAAGTTTATATCTGAGATATTGTTTTAAAACAAAATGAAGTATGTATCACTTAATGAAATTTAGTAGAAAAAGGAAAAAAGATTAAATGTTAGTTTTAAAACTTTTAAGTCTTGATATAAAAATAAATTTTAATATATATTTTTATTACCTTTTTATTTTAAAAAATTCTCAAACTAGAAGATTAGGATAGAGAAAGAAAGCTAAGAAAGATCTTTAGGTTTGTTCGAAAAGAAAAAGTGGCTTATATAGAGAATGCAAAGATCAACAAAGATACTAATTATGAGAGTTTGAGTGAAGATTTCGAAGTAAACATAGCTGAATTACGCCCTGGTCCTACATATCAATGCCAAATGCTAAAACCAGGAGATAATGTGGAAGGGGGTACAACTAAACAATATAGTTTCGATGTAACCAAAGCTGATAAAATATTCGATATCCTGTTAAAAGATAAGCAGATTGTACTTCTAGAAAATCATAAAATTCCTTCATTGGAAAAAAGAAAAGGGAAAAATTTCTATAAATATCACAACATGTATGGTCATTAAACTTATCAACTCAGCCTTGCGGCCTACATCATCAAGCAGCGTTAACCACCAGTCATCACATTATAATCAACAACTTCTACTTAAACTCAACATAAACAACCTCTAACATCCATTAGTGAAATCACATCTCCACGCCCAGCGTACTCGTGGTTGCGCCCAGCGTGGTACAACCAGAGAGCACCAGGGCTAACGTGCCCAACGCAAACATGCCCGCGCCCGGCGGGACTCAGCCAGAGAGCCCAAGGCTTACATGCGCCTGGCGCAATACCAATTGCGCCCAGCGCAGACCAGACAGAGACTCCAAAGAGTCCCATGCGCCCAACGTGCCCAAACCCGCACCCGGCGCGGGGTTGGCAGAGACCTCCCTTGGTCTCGTGCCCAGCGCAATTCAAATTGCGCCCAGCGCCCACAAGGCAGAGACTCCCAATGAGTCTCACGCCCACCGCGACAAGGATCGCGCTCAGCGCCATACCAGAAGTACAAAATCAAGTCACAACCGATATCGCGCCTGGCGCGGTTCGAGTCCCGCCTGACGTGGGCCATCCAGAAGCTAACATCCTCAAGCCTGCCCGGCGCATACATCTTTGCGCCCGGCGGCTTGCCTAAATGCTGCCCTCGGGTGGCCACGTGCCCGGCGCAAAGAACTGCGCTAAGCGCGAACTCAGCAGCAGACCTCCTTATTTTCAAAAATCTCATCAGAACCTGCAAAACAACCAGGAAATTCCACATGCAATCCATTCCAGATATCACATTTCCATCAAACATCTCAAAAATACCACCTTTTTCAACATGCAACAACAAATCAAGAAATCCCCAAATTTTTCCTCAAATCCCCGAATAACCCCGAAAACACTTTCTTCGAATTTCAGCCAAGAATCAGTTATTCACAGTCATCTAATGAGTACTAAGACTCAATTTTCAACTCAAAATGCACAAAAGTCTAGCTTCCCTTACCTCGGTTCAACAGCTCCGAGCTCCGGGAAGAGGAGGACGAAAGAGAGAACGAAAATGGCTTGAACGAATGAGAAAGGAGAAGGAAGAAATCCGCACACCCCAGCTAGCAATCCAACTACTCAGCACCTAAGCTCACCCAAGAAGGAAGAATCAACAAATGAGTAGGAAGAGTTTGAGGAAGAATGAGTGAATGAGAGAATGGGAATGAAAATGAGTATGGGGGAAGAGGGGAAAAATAAGAGCGGGTCTCACAACCTCCCCAACAATAAGAGTTTTCGTCCTCGAAAACAGACTTACTTGGGAAAAGGAAT